CATGGACTACAACCAAGAATATACTCTTGTCTCTAGAACTGGGCTTTTCTTTTTTTTTTTTTTGTTTTTGTTTTAAAGCTGGATGGGAGAAAAGCTGCACTTATGGGGGTATTAGCTTTGTTTAATACATTAGATGGAAAATGACTTTCTATTGCAACTTTCCCTCCTTTGTACTTAGAAATTATGAAGGAAGGAATCCATTTTGTTCACTTCCCCCAGTGGTGTGCCATCCAGTGAGGCAAGAGAAGAAAACTCTCCCACTGCTGCTTGCTGTTTCTGCCTCTGTGACTTATAGGCGAATACGTCTGCCTCTGTCTTCTTAAATTCAGCTAGGATGTATGTATCAGTGCACGCCTAACAGCAGGGCACTATGCCTGCTGCCACTGCAGCCGGCAGCACAGACTCCAACCTGTGTCATTTTTATCCTTCTTCAGAGACATGGGAACAGAAGATATTAACCCAGTCTCTCACTGTTTGCCTGGACTGTAAGATGTAAAGTCTCAGATCAGTTTTCGGCTGTGTTTTAGGGCAGGCTACATGAAGCTGAGAGGCAGAGGCAGTCAATCTGCATAGAGAGGATACAAAAGAGCAGAGAGGAGCAATGAAAAATATGACAGGCAGTCCTGAGGAGGGCTGAGGTCCTGGTTCTCTTGTTCACTACCCTATGGATGCATCAGCGAAGAGGTCAGATAAATTACTCCTGTTGTCATGGGCAGCTTTTAGAACAAGTGAAACTCAACCTGTTTGGAGTAGCAAGAGAGGAGAAAGGAATCACCTAAACTATATATAGCTCATTAAGGAAGGCATCACATGTAATGGTCCTGGGAACTGCTTTAAGCCTGGCACAAACGTAGGTGCAGAGTAAATTTTTCTTGAATAAATGAATGATCATGTCATACATAAGGGGAGAGGTGGTAGAAATGACTGGAGTGGTACATGAGTTTCCTGTGTTATATGAAGAAGTGTATCAAGCACAAATATTTGAAGCCTATGGAGAGAAAATGTAATTTTGTTGTTAAGGGCATGTGCATTGGAGTCAGAGTCAAACTGAATCCTGGCTTTATCACTTGCCAGGGATGCAGTCTTTGACAGGTAGATAACCTCTCAGTGCTTCAATTTCCTCATCTGTGAAGTGGACATAATTACAGTATCTACCTCACATAATCTTTGTGAAGATTACATGAGCTAAAAATTAATACGTAAACTGCTTAAACAGTGCCTGGTACAGGTATACATCCTATGAATGTTGGCTGTTATTTATTTAAGATTTTTTGATGTGGACCGTTTTCCTAAAAGTCTTTATTGAGTTTGTCACAGTATTGCTTCTGTTTTTATGTTCTGGTTCTTTGGCCCCTGAACATGTGGGACCTCAGGTCTATGATCAGGGACTGAACCTGTACATCCGGACTTGACGGAGCCATCCTAACCACTGGACCACCTGGGCAGTCCTAGCCGCTATTTCAATAACACATCTACTACTAAAATTCTAGACAATAGTACTTAAGTTTAGTTTTGCATTATTCTTTTTTTTTCATGTCTCATTGTCCAGTCCTTCAGAATAATTTCCACAGTGTTGGGCAATTACAGAGGACAGGAAAGGATCTCTGAGACCCTTATTTTCCAGGTGAGGGACCGAGGCCCAGAGCCAGCAAGGGAGTTGTCCAAGACTAGTGCTTTCATCACAGAACCCAACCTACAAGTCACATCTAGTCTCAGGGTAGTCTCAAACCCTACAATTGGAGAAGATTTAAAAGTGAAATGTATGTAAGATGGATACCCATCAGTGAGATGCTACAAGGTTTTAGTACAGAACTCTACTACCTGACTTTTTGGCAACAGGTGGTGAAGAGTTGGGCTTCCCTGGTGGCTCAGCTGGTAAAGAATCCGCCTGCAATGTGGGAGACCTGGGTTTGATCCCTGGGTTGGGAAGATCCCCTGGAGAAGGGAAAGGCTACCCACTCCAGTATTGTGGCCTGGAGAATTCCATGGACTATACAGTCCATGGGATCATAAAGAGTCGGACACGACTGTGCAACTTTCACACACACAAGCGAAGAGTTACATCTCTCAGTAATTTGCAGGCGTTTTTGTGAAATAATTTATTATATATAATAATTGCAGAAAAGTAATTACAGAAAGGCTTGACATTTTCCTAGTTATACAACTTACATGAAATTGATGAGCAGTGTTTAACGCAACATGAAGGGATAAATCACCCACTGTGACATCCCAGAGCCGAGAATATGGTTTTTATTAAAAGCAGACAAGCAGCCAAATAAACCAATTGGTTTTCTAAAACCAATTCTTTGGGTATTCTAAGAGAATCTTCAGTTTTAAAACAATTTTAATCTTTGTTCAGACTAGTTATCATCATAACGCAAGCTGTTACTTTGGTGGCCTGGTAGTGTCCTCTAATCTGGACAGCTGTTCAGAGTTCATGCATTTCAGTGTAGATGCTCATTTCCAATAGTCACAGCACAGGATAGGTAAACTTCCACTGTCTTTTCTCTATTGTCTAAACTGTTAAGCAATTAGAAATCCAAGGCATTTATTTAGCTGAGAATAGTGTTTTTAACACCAATTCTATTTCCCTGTTTTTGGAGCACAAACAACAAAGTATTTTACAGCTCAAATTTTATTTAAATTTAAAAGTTTCCATTAATCACCAAAGAGCAGTTGAGACTCAATCAGGATTTAATGAAGTCATAGAAGATTCTCTGAATTAAATGAAAAATTTGTAACTTCTTTATTGTTTTAACATTCTTAACTGACAAGTCAGCCTTTGAATATCAAGATTCTAGCTCATAATAACTTCTTCAACAAAATATACTGTTCAGGAAAAAGGAACCTCAAATGCCTGGTTATCTCTTCCACTGTATTTTTTTTAAACAAATCTTTCAGTCACAGCACAAATTAGTCTAACATTTGCTATAATCTTCAGAGACAATGCTTTTCTCAAGGAAATGTATGAAAGAGAAGGAAAGGAAAGGGAAAGGGTGAGTTGCTCAGTCATGTCTGACTCTGTGAGACCCCATGAACTACTGTAGCCCAACAGGCTCCTCTGTCCATGGGGTTCTCCAGGCAAGAATCCTGGGTATGCTATAACTCAACTGAACTGAACTATGAAAAAATCTCTCTAGAAAGAGATAAAAGTTTTGTTTTATCTAAAACAGTTTATTAAAATGAGAATCTTTATAAGACTATGAAGAAAATTAACTCATGTGACCAGTTTAATATCAATATTTACTTATACAAAGAAAGAAACCTCTGTTTTACCATCAAGACCACAAAGAAAAACAATAAAACTATCAGAGAAAGGGCAGATTTTGTCTGTGTTAACTTGAGAAAGAAAAGGGGAAAAGCTTCTGTTAAGGCAAGACTCTTGATATGTTCAGTACTATTCTCCAAAAGAATGTCTTTCAAATTTATTTTTGAAATCTCCTCCTCAAATTCAATATTAATAGGGAGCTATGGCTGGAGAAAAAGGAAAAACTTGTCCCTTAGCTGAGTATCAGATGTTTGGAAGTTTCTCTTCCACATCATTCTGCTCTCATGTGGTGAATAGCATTGTTCAATAGTTGATAACGTATTTTCTAAGAAAAATAAAAAGTGGATTTGAGATCAGTTTCACATGTGTCTTATGATTTGATTTGTATTTCAATATCAAGATGTAACTGTTTACATCACTTAGGAGTGATTTTCTTAAAACTGTTCCAGATTACATATGTTGCTATAACCAATATGTTTATAGAGAATATGGATAAATTTCAACTTTAAATGAGTTTGAAGCTTAAGTAGTTTCCAGATATTAGAAGAACTAGTTGGAAGATCATCTAGGTAAACCCCTTTAAAAAATCTAACTTAGTTCTTTAAAAGAAAAAGTAGATATATTAAATGGACTATATATGTATTTTTTTAAATTTTAAACTTCTGTTTTCAATACTTAGGGTATTTCTTACCAGTTGTACTTAATGTTATTAACTGTATAATTTAAAATGATATTTATAAAATGAATTGCATCAAATAGAAAGATTTGTTGAGGATCATTACTATATAGATAGATAGGTAGTTGTGGTTTAAATCTCCAGTGTTGCTTACAAATTTCTAGTCCAACAAGCAACAGACATATGTTCTGTTTAACAAATCTTCTGAAGAATAATTACAAGTTGTTGGTGGAGACCTGAAACAATTGTAAGTGATCATTGCCTTAATACTTTAATTTTATAAAAGAGAGCTTTAAAATTAAGCCAGGGTAAGACATTTCTTTGTTTCACTCAATTTAATTAAAGGCTCTATCTTTTCTATAAGGATAAAATTAGGCACTTGTTCAATCCTGAAATTCTTACATCAATTGTAAACAAAGTTGTTACTCCTGCATTTATGAGTTAGCCATTATAGTATAAATAAATAGATACACTTACCTGGAATTAAAACGGAAAGAGCTGCAAACGTTTCAGAAAGTTTCAATAGATAGAAAAGAAACTGAAACAGCAGTATCCACTACCGTGGCTCAGGCATTTTGGCTTTACAAGTGGCCGCGCTACCAGCTCAGGCCCAGTACCCTTGTGTTATGTAACATCTCATTAATATGAGCCATCAAACTGCTACCAAGCTGCCGAGGCACTAGAGGGCAAGAGTGTCACATGCAAGACCCGTCGCCAAGGGACAGGTTTTGGTACCACTTGGGGAAGACAGATGCTAAAGAAGCTGATAAATAACACGATGCCTGAAAGCAGCAGCGAACTAGAAATGTTTCTCAGTATTTTAAATGTCAATTTTCTGTCCAGCTGAAGAGTTAACAGGTTAATAAATATGTATAAACAAATAACCACACCATGCAAAACTTTCGGGATTGTATTTAAAAACCTCCAGTCATCCAGGAAGCTGTCTTTCTTTTCTTTGTCTAAATAAACTTATTTTTAAAAGGCGAGGAAAGGTCGATTAAATAAAACGAGTGTCAGTCTCAGGACCCCTTTAAACCGCGAGAAACTTGTCCTGACCGTGCGCGCCGCCTCTGGAGCCCGCGTTCCAAGTCTCCGGCGGCGGGTATCTGGGCGAGGACAGCCCGGTCCCTGGCGATTCCCTCGGGCTGCGGGCGTCCGCGGGATCCTGCTTCCCACGTCCTGGGCCTCCGCGGCTCCTCGCGATCGCCCCGCCGTCCGGGCGGCGCTCGGGGACGACGCGGTGCCGGGATCCGGGCGGGGACGACGCGCGGGCGGGTCCCCGATGCATCCGGCCGCCCTGCGCCCGTGTCTGCTCCGCCCGGCTGCCTCCCCAGCCTTCGACTTGGGGACCCTGGGTGTCCCGGCCCGGTCGGCCGGATCCGACGGCCACTGCGGGCAGGTTGGTAGCGGTCGCCAGGGAGAAGTGTTGGACCGTGTGTGGGAAGTGGGTGTGAGTTCCAGAGGCGGTGCGGGGAAGGTGCGGCGCACCCTCGTCGTCCCCTCCGGTCGCGGTGGCTTCGAGGTTGTAAGCTGGTAATTGCTTCGACTTGCCGGCTTTCTAAAGGCCACGTGTTGTGTTCCAGCTCCTAAAGACAGATGAAGGCCAACAACTGGAGCGACATTTTGGATAGGAAGGTGTGAGGTTGCACTTGTCCTAAAATATAGGTTGATCAGGAGCCTCAATTGAATGACTTTCCCCCTTTTTAATTTCTGTTTTGATCCACTGAGTGGGTTGCCATGCCCTTCTCCACGGGCTTGATCCACTAACAACAGCATATGTGAGTTTTAGTAAGTGGTGCAAGTGGATCTACTAAAGATTGTACTGGATTTCTATGGTTTTGCCTCTAGTTACGCATTCCTCCCCTGGAAACAGTACCCTTATTTACTTTGGAAGATCGAACCGGCGCCTCTTAGCCCATTTGATTCAGGTAATGTCTACCACTCAGTGGGTGACCCACGACTCTTGTGTGGCCACTGGAAGCTTTATGTCCTTCTAGTAGTAGCTAGGGTTGGTTTACAGAAAAGTATGTGACCAAGTTGGCCAATCAGAGACAAGAAAGCACCGTTTGGGGACCATTTTGCCCCCCTTAAAAAAGGGTCTCCCTTCCGTTGGGCTTTGCAGAGTGAGTTGTGAGCTTAAAGCTTTTTGCGTCATCATGTGAAGTCTGGGGATGCAGATAATACTCAGGGAGACGAATGGGAGCTGGAGGAAAGTTAAATCTAGATGGGGATATTTGAGCTCTGAACCCAGCTGAAAAAATGTCCTAACTGGATATTTTCAAATATGAATCACCAAATTCAGTTTAGTCTTAAGGCAGCTTGAGTTGAAATTTCCGCTGGGTGAATATGAAAGAGACCCAAAATGATACAGAAATTAAACATTTTGGTAGATTACTAATGGGGGCATTTGGATATTGTATGGCAGGACTTTTGATTAGATCCTAATGTGGAAATCTTAAAAAGCCTGAAGGATTTTGCTCTTTTGATAAAGAGGTTGCAGAAGTAACTGAACCAATTACTCCTTCTGGAAGCCCCAAAAGATGTCGAGATGGTAGAATTATTTCACCAGATGACATGTGTTAAATTGATTTTACTTATTTATTTATTTTATTATTGTCCCCTGGCCCCCAGAGCCTTTCAGGAATTTTAAGATTCTACATTTGTTTTTTTCATACTTCTTTTCCAAACAACTTCATCTGACATCCAGGCATCTTTACAGTCTTCATTCCAGTGATTAAAAAAAAAAAAGAAGAAATTATTGGACATCTACTAAATGGTCCTGGAAATACAATAATGTTTTAATAAGAAAATAAAAGCAGGAACATTTCCAGCACTTCTGTTACTTGTTATATATTGATACAGGGATAAGAAGTCAGACTTTTCTACAAACAAAAAATAGAAAAGTTTTTCTACAAAATAATGCATTTAGTATTTTTATGACTGTGTTTTGAGGCTTTCTTCAGCTAGGTGTGCTGGAGGCACAAATTTTCTGATGCTTGGGAAGAATCGCTCCCTTCACCCGTGGCTGCTACCCTCGCCATCTATCTGGAAGTACAGACACCTTAGAAAATGTGAAAGTGTTAGTCACTCAGTCGTGTCCAGCTCTTTGCTTCCCTATGCACTGTAGCCTGCCAGGCTCCTCTGTCCATTGGAATTCTCTAGACACAAACACTGGAGTGGGTTGTCCTTTCCTTCTCCAGGGGATCTTCTGGGGTTTTTTTTTTCCCATGAGGTAGACAAACCTTACAGCTCTATTCCACAAGTTCCTATCTGTGCACATGTGACACTTCAGTCAGTGTAATAGCAGATTGGTAAATTGCCTCTATTTCCTTACTTTTTACTTGCCCAGCAGAAGGTAAAGTGCAACAGATATCACTGTCAACCATTGTTCCCTCTGGCCCTTCCTTCCTGTCATCTTTCCTTAACTGAGAAATATTAAAGCCAGGGAATAATTTTTCCTCTGAAAAGATTCCAAATTGCGGAACACTCATTATAGACAGCAAAGAACCTGTGGCAGTGGGTGAGGCAGAGGTGGTGAAGGTTGTCTGCTCCAATGCCTCATGTTTGCAAAGCATTTGTATAATTTAGTATCATCTCTAAATGAGGTTATGCAATATTTTTTAATGTGGTAAATGTGTTAGGTTTATTTTAGACTTACAGGATAAAGCACAGAGTTTATAGCTTTGGCATATCTACTATTACTATTTGTATAAATACTACCTACCTCAAATATGGAAGAAGTTCAGACTTCTATCAGTCTCTGAGAAACCCTGAGATAACATGAAATACATTTATTAGAGGCCCAGCTTCCAATCCAAAAAGAAGAGTCTATAAATTAAATACCTGTGGAAACCATTAAAAAGAAGAGACAAAGAACAAATCTATACACATTGTATATTGAAATATTCAACCCTTGAATTTAGTCTGAAATGAGACATTGAATAATGGAGATTTAAAAATTTATGCTTTTTATAGTTTACAAATTATTTCTGTCTTTGATGGTCTTTCCCCCCTTTATCTAAATACTCTTATGTAGAGGTGATGATTATGAAGGAATAGGAAACTCATTTCAGTTTGCAGAATCTTCTATTTTTTCAGTGTCTAAATTAAAGCAATGTAGTGTTCTAATACATTTTTTAAAATGTAAGTATTAATAAAGAATACATCAGTATTTTTCTGACCTGAAATAGCTAGAAAGTATGTGTGTGTTAGTCACGCAGTTGTGTCCTACTCTTTGTGACCCCATGGACTGAAGCCCACCAGGCTCCTCTGTCCCTGGGATTCTCCAGGCAAGAATTCTGGTGTAGGTTGCCATTTCCTTCTCCAAGCTAGTAAGTATAAGTATTACTTTTCTTGGAAATATTCAGTTTGGAGTTATAGTTATGGTAATTAATGACATTATAAAGCTGCTGAAATGTAATGGGATAAAGATTTAAAAGCATATTCTAGCTAAAAACTGCTAACTCAGCTCAAGGAAATACACCCCAAATTTCTTTATTGTCTAAAGAGCTGTTTAAGTGAAAATAGACCAAAACAAAAAATCTCAAAAAAGTGATTGGTTAGGGGGAAGAGAAATGGAAATGGTATCTGGCTTCTCAAAAGCCACAGAAAAGGTGAATTTTACCTGCCTCTAAGTCTCCTTATAAACAGGCCTCTGAAAAGTGTACTGGGTTGATTTAGTAGAATGAAAATCTTGCCTTATTTTATAAAGACCAATTTAAAACTTAATAGACTAGTTTGGAGTAGTGGTTCTCAAATTTAGTGTACATCAGTGTAATCTGAAAATGTTATTAAATCAAAGGTTGCAGGGCCTCACCCCCAGAGTTTCTGATTCATTAGGAGTGGGGTAGGGCTGAAGAGTTTGCATTTTTCACAAGTTGCCTGGTGAAGGTGATATTACTTATCTGAGACCACACTTTATGATCCTCTGGATTAGAGCACTATTGAGAACACAGATTGTGTGTGTGTGTTTTTTTTTAAATGTTTATTTCTATATTTATTTTCAGCCTTTTTTCCAGGAAAAGCTTTAAAATGGATGGTAGTGGGGGTTTATTATACCTTATAAAGTTCCTGAAGGGCAAAAGACCCTGCCTTTGGCACTCCTTTGCTGCAAGACCCAGGCCTGGAGAACTGTGGTCTGTAAGAATGAACATTTATTATTATATAAATTATTTGGTTTTCAAAACTAATTCTCTTTTTTTTAATGTTGACCATAATATACAATGAAGTCAAGATTTTAATTGGCTTCCCATACAGTCGATTAAGTAAATCATCAATGAAAAGGAAATTGTTTGTTAAAAAATATGGGGCCTTTGGCATAATAAAAAGTAGCAGGACTTTCAAACAGGTGAACAGATGCTGTGCTTACCTCTTTGAGGGCTAGTTTATTTTGTGTCTTTCATTTCCCCAGGACCAGGGTCTTGCACAACAGTGGTCATTTAAAATGAAGTAAAGAAGAGAAAGACATTATTTTATTAGATAATAGGTAATGTTTTACATTGCCCCGATCAAGGAAATCACCTTATTCTATTATGTCATTAAAATTTGTTTTTATTTTTTAGCCAAAAATACCTCTACACATTATTTTCTATCATTTCTGTTTAATTTTCAAATGCTTTGTCCTCAAAAATAGCTTTTTCCCTAATGTGCAACTAGTTTTAAGTTCTTCTGATCACAATGTATGTAATTAATTACCAGCCTTGGGTGATGGCTGCTTGGCAGTATAAGCATATTCATATCTATAGATTTAGTACAAACTATTGAAATAACTGTTGTTTTGTTCCATTTTAATGGGGAAATACAAGCAATTGTCAGATTGTAGAACATACTGTGTGAGTCTTCAAAACTATCTCTTAATAAATATTCAGGCAGGACCAAACATCATTAAGGTGTTCCTTTGATCTAGCTTGCAACATTAAAACATCATTTTATAGCTTGGCCTTATGCCATGTAGTACAAGAGAGATTCATTGTGAAAGTAAAATGGATGATTTCTCTTTCAATTTGTGTGAAAAACAAGCTTCATAAAAAGACCGCAGAATACTTTCCCTACCACTTTAGTATGATGTTTCTCCATTATATCTGATCCTTCAATTTCAAGAAATTGAAGAAAATAATAAATATTCAAGAAGTTGGAGTTGTATGAATTAATTTTGTTTTGCGCCTCTGCAAGTATCTTTGAAATAGTGACATGGGAAGTTGTTCGAAAAAAGAGAAATAGCAGAGAA